CTCACAGTGCGACAAAGTAGGCCTTCTGACTGCTTGAGATGACCATATTGCCTCCAAAAAGCTTTCTCGCGGGGATCCGCTGCATGGTCGGACGGTTTTTCCTCGTCTTTGACCCACTAAATGTCTGTAGAAATTGCCGAATCTTTGATTTCTCTCCCGCAAAAAGGCACTTGGCCATGATGTCGCGTTTGGCGAACTGTCCCCTTGGACGGTGTCCGCCATGTTGTTTGGAGAGCGGTCCTGCGCGGCTGTCCCAGACGCTACCCGGGCTGTCCTTGCTGGGGATCCGGGCGGCCAACTGCCCGCTCTCTGATTGGGGCCGGGGCGGCGGCGGCTGGCACCGCGCCGACGAGTGACCCGTCATCGAGAAGGGGCGGGGCGTGCGCGTTTCTTGTGACGGCGGCGGCCGCGGCGGTATGAATCGTATTAACGGCGTTTCGCAGCCACGATAAAAAGTCTCTCGAAATGACAGGACCGTCTGGCAGGCGACCTCTCGGGTAGACGGTGGCATATGGGACATGTCAGCATCGCCACGAGCCATGCCGAACTCTGTGTTTCCAGCCTCTGGGCGAGCATCCCCTGGGCATCTCTGAAGTAGAGCAGCCAAACGTGAAATGGATCTCTTGGATGTCAAACGTTACATAGATCTGATACATCCATTTGTCTGGACGGGTCGATTCGGTTCGCTCACTCGTGACCTGCTGTACCTGACCCACGAAGGGTCCCGGCCTGACCGGGATTGTTGTCACGGGATCTAAGTCAGCTGATGGGCCGGCGCCGACAAGGCAGGCGACGGAAGCACGAGGCGGCGGAACGCGACATCAGACAGCGGCACCGTTCGGGACATCCCCACCCAGAATGCACTTGGTGTTTTCGGTGTGGTTGCTGTTGCAGTGTTCCACGACCACAGAACTCGGGCAGTGCAAGTGTTACTGTCGCGAATCCTAGAAGTCTGACTGACATTCATCGTATTACACGCGGAAAAGCGCCGGCTGTCCGCGTCAGGAGTGTACCGGCGGCCGTTGCCCCGGGGACGGCGCGACTCCTTTTGCTGCATCTCCAGCTGAGAGATATCGGTGAAAGGTTGTTGCATAGGGAATGCAACACCGTGTACTCAAAAGTTTTGACTAGCAGGTATCGCCACGTGCTACAAGAATACCAGAATCGGGATTAAGACCAGATTTAGTATGCTGTATCAAAAGCTGGCAGTGTTGTTCTAGCGGCATCTTGGGTTTGTTTGTGGCGATGAAGTGTAGTATCGCGCTTGTCAGTCGCAAGACACTGATTGAAAACTGATTATGTAATGTTTCAGCTACTGCACAGCTTGCCAGTTACGAATCTTGTGGTCTAGGCTGCCGGCTGCTGGATGCTTGTGGAGTGCTGCCTGCGAAGTGATTGATCAAGATGTGCTCAGGTATATTTATGTCGGAGCTAAGGGTCTGCTTACTTTTCAATATATGAATATTGAGATTTTTGTTTGATTGGCACTTCAATATGCAACAGGAGACATGAAAGGCACTAATGTAATTTAAATGTTTGGTATGATGCAATGTTGTGCACATACCTGACATGACATTTAACCGAAATTGTGGTCAGCCTGCACTGCACTGCGCTGAGTAGGTCATCTGATGTCACAAATTGGCTGAGTTTTCTGGCATAATTCAGCTCGTGTGAAAGTGTAAGTTACGTTTTTTCCAGATCAAAAGAATCAATGTGTGTGGTTTATTCGTGGGCTGTGCTGACGGCGACCCTACCTCACCTCCGCCTAACGTGTGTTTCTCATCGTGTCCGGACACCTTATTTTCATTAAATGCTATTAAAAGTTGCCGTTTTGTGTCTCCTTCAAATCTCCAGCCAATGTCATCAAATGATGCCCAAATGCAGGTGATCGTGGTGTGAATCACTTTTACCTTAGATTTTTGTAATATTCTAGCAACAATACCAAGCGGGCAAGCCAACATTTGCTAATGCACTTAAACATTGTTGGAGGAGGCCACCATCACAAAAAGGCAATCGCTCCATGCAACTGCATGCAGCATAACTTGGCATTGAACATTAAGCAGTGCTTAGCAAATGTATCCAACGTAAGCAGCAAATATTGTAGTAAATGTATTTAATGGATGCAATGGTTTGTCTTGTACCTGAAATGTACAGTTTGTCAGCAACATAAGTCATCTTTATTTCTTACGCTAGGTCTCATGCTGAAATAATGATGTAATGTAGGATACAGGCCTATCAAATCAATTTCGACATGGAATGGCTCCTTATGCAGGGGAATATTTCGGATTTGTGACATTTATCGAAAATGATGTTTTATGTTAAATGTTGTATTCTGAACGCCAGCAGTAACCCTATCCTCATCATTGTGGCTGCTACACATCATTCCATAATCCATATCAACACAATTTCCTTGTAGCAATATGAGCAAATGTTGCGTACTAGGTGGTACAGAAATATTATATCAGTACAACATATTGCATTTATACAAAAATGCACATAATGGGCGCATGGTTTGGGGCAGTCTAAGGCCCATTGAAAATTTGCATTGCCTTGAGCCAAAGCTGCATTGGTTTCAGATACTAATGCATCTTCCGGATCTATCTAAGCTGCCCGTTTCACTACATCTGCTTAGGTGTACTTTTCCTTCCCTGAGATCAATGGATGGAAGTTAAAGTTACAAATTACAAGCCTTGATAAGGAATATAAAAATTATGTCATATTAAAGTCACAGATATATATTTTTCAGGTTTTGTAATGTGAAGGCAAGCTTTCCAGGTTCAGTTATTCAGTGTAGCCAGTGATAAAATGTTTGTATTCACCTTATGCCAAAAAACCCTTCCTGCAAATGGTTTTAGGGAGCATGGTCACGTAGACCGTAGGTCTGTCCGGTGTTTAAGCTCTTCAAGATCAATCAAATACGTTTTATAAATTTTGTCACGCCAGGGCCCCTGTGCAGTACAGCTCGCCATTATAGCACTCATTATAATGCTTACCATCCGGGTTTTAAGCATAACTGCTTCCCAATCAGAGGTGCTTGTAATGCTACTATTCGGTCGTTGCCGCGCTGGTCCTGCGGCAGCGTTGCCGACCCCGGACAGCAGTGGCCGCCAGCGTCACAACTGCACGGCAGTGGCCGCCACTGCCGCGCAGTGGCACGGCCACTGCACGGCAGTGGCCGCCAGCATCACAACTTACGAACCTAACACAGGGCCTGGTCTTACCTCTGGCCGCGATGGGGACGACCAGCTTTGGACCGCTACCGTCGCGATAGGTTCCATGCGTCAGGCACAGTAATGCTATGCACCCCAGCCATAAGCTATTGCGTGTAGCCCGACGGCTGCTTTACACCTGTCAGGTATATTTTACAGATATAACAAGATCTCATTTGTAATTCTTGTGATAACTCGCACCATGTTTCACAGCACAGCAGCTGCATCGTCAGGCTATGCATAATGTGCATATATATGCAACCTATATATGCATATATACATATACATATACATATATATATATATATATATATATATATATATATATATATATGTATATATATACATAAATTTATATAGTGAATCAGAATATTGTTGCACTCAATAGTTTTATCGTCAGTCAGTGACCGTATTCGCTCTGTGTTCCATCTCTACTCTGCTGAAAAGAGTTGGCGGTAGGGAGATTCAATCCCACACCTGGACATCGTGGCACGTGCATGGATCTACGCTTCGCCTGATAGCTTGAAAGTGAGTGCCACGGCGCACACTTTTGATCCCGGAAATCAAAAAAGAATTGTTCAAGCTTCATCTCTATGCACTTTTTATGCATCTATATGTTGAAGATTTAGAAAGCCGTGGACCTGAAGAAGGGCATTTTAACATGGGAGCCATACGGCTAGTCGTGAAATGTGCGCCGTTGCTGTCATATTTTATGCTAGACTTTGCCCCCCCCCCCCCCCCAGTTTTTGCAGGATGTCGTCAGGGGTGGTCCCTCGTCAACTGTTCCTGACTGCAGCAACCGGCTGTGAAGCAGAGTCTCAGCAGCCAGCAGGTGTAGCAGCTTGGTTACTACCGTGTCATAATCGACGACTCCCGCTGCAACGAGTGCGTGACAGAATCGAGCTGGAGAGGCCTGGAGCAGTTAGCTGAGCATCAGGTCTTTGCTGGGATCCTCCTGTCCGAGGAACGCCTTTTGTACGTTATGTGAGAGACTGGCCAAGAACGGATCGGAAGTGGGCTGGGTCGAATCTCATTTGGGACGGTTGGACATGCTGAGAGACCGGAGTGAGGGCCACAAAGCAGACAAGAAGTCCCCGAGGGCTGTTTCAACGGATTCGAGAGTTTCCGCTGTTCCTCTGACAATGGGCTCTTGGCAGCGCCATCCAAACACAGAGGAAGAAGTGATAAGACCTGTGCGCCTGTCTATGCCGGAGTTCGCGACACCGCGAAAGACTTGAGGTCAGCGAAGAACGCGGCCACCGTTTGGCCCGCACCACTGAATCAGGAAACTGGCATTTGGGTGCTGAATGATGCCATGTTCCCAGGTCTTGCCAGGTAATGATGCCAGGTCTTGGTCGGAGTTTTCGGTGTGGGCTTACTGAGACGCCGGGGAAGGGTTTATTCTCTGTTGGATGTGGTCGTAATACAGGACCGTTCCGCGCGCAGTGGACTTGACCTGTGGCGATATTGCTATAGTGGAGCGAGCACTGGTAGACGCCGTCTTCCAAACCGCGGTTGAGGCGCAATTGCTGACAGCACGATGATGAATGTTGAAACACCTGCGGGCTGGACGGACTGGAACAGATTGGTGGCGCTTGGGCGGAGGTAGTCACCAGAGGTCCCGCTGTGAGCGGCTGAGCTCCATCGTGGTAGCACGCAGCCGGGGCGAGTGTACGTAGCTCGACGAGAGGCGTGAGGCCGAATTGGTGTTAAGTATGAGATGCACCGCTATCGCCGAAGTTCTGCTGTTCCGGGGTCCCGCCTCCGGCTCACTGGTACACCCGATGCGGCCAAAGTCACGTCTGTATTTGACACCCGTCACAGGCACTCCTAACGGTCCCTGCGGCCGTGTTTCCTGCCTGGGACAAGAGGAAAATGCCAGCACCTAAGTGGCACTCGCCAAATTGCGCAAACATTCACTGGTTAGCACACAGGTGTTCTCTTGACACCTTACACTGCAGCCCGGGGTGCTCCGCCGCGCGGCCGCCGCCAGGGCAGCAAACGCATCGCTCTGGTCAGGGCCGAGTACTTGGAGCGTCTGGTTTGTGTCATTGTCGGCAGTTGCTGTGGAAACGGCTGTGTTTACCCAGCTGCGTTCCTGAAATACAGGTATCAATGACACATTGCTTGAAAATACTTACCTTGGGGAGGAGAGATGCGTGACATATTCTAACACCTCTTAACACGCGCCCGGGTGGCCGGCCAGATACCCTTCGCTCGGGTGGGGGGGGGGGGGGCAATTTGACCCCCTTGCTGATATCTCGGGGAATAAAAAAGCTACAGACACCATATTTTACAGGGTACGTTGGCCTGTACCTCAACTCACTTAGGTCAAAGTTTCAGGTTCCTAGGCCATGCCCTTTGGGTCCAAAAAGGTCAAACAAGGTCAAGTTCTGGGTTGGCCCCCAAAGTGCCCCAAGAACCTAGATAAACGTTTCTAAGCAAAAGGTCACATCCTCATTCAAGGTCAGTGGCCTTGTTCGACCTTTTTAAGGTCAAGGTGACCAAAAGCATACAAGATTGCTTTGAGTTTTGCATTTCACTAAGCGACATATATTACACTAGGCAGTATTTCCCTAAAACAAAATGTTGACGTGGTCATTTTAGGTCAGTGACCTATTCCAACCTCTAAGAAGTCCATAAAAGATGTATAATGCGGCTCCTGCCATCAATAAACTCGAAACAGGCACCAGAAACCATCTCGTACAGCAAGCCCTAGAGCAACAAATCAGGTTGGTTTTGACCTTGGCGTGACCTTCATACCTGACCTTAGGCTCACATAATTTGCTCATTCAACTGCTGTGTTGCCTCAGAAAGCATCTCAGAGATGTATGGCTTCGCCTAACACTCCGTTGTTGGATCAGACTGAAGGATTTCCTAGAACTTGCCTTCGCTGATACCATGGTCTGACTTTGACCTGCCATAGGTCAGCGATCTTACAAGGTACATCTAAATTTGTGACGCCAAATGATCTGCTATTTAATGGTCTAAAGCTATGCAAAATTTGGCGCGGCTATGCCACCCTGTTTGGAAACCATTTTGGAAAAACCTTCGGGGGGGTCAATTTGATCCCCCACCTGAGCGCGTGTGAAGCAACATCAGCTTGTGCCAGGATGTTTTGACGTGGCGGCGAAGCCCACATTTCGACCACCACGGTGAAGAGAGCCTTGTCAGTTACTATCATCATCTACCGGACTTGTGCTGGGCTCGAGCTGAATCCTGAATCGGCTCACCAGCCAGCCTTTTTGGGTGAGCCGCGAGCCGAGCTGGTCGTTCGGAAATACACTGCTCTGAGTCATGAGCTTCATCACAATATTCGTATATTTCGTGAGCTGAATCGTGAGTCGATCATTTTTAACAATGCCGCGTCAGTAATGCCGTGTTATATGGCTCAAACTAAATAGGTAACATGTGGGAGCTCAACACGCCCCAGACAAATAGGCAGGCCATTTCAGATTGTTAGAACGAACAGCATGCAGCAATAGTAATACAGCTTTTTGCAAAACTCCTCGTCACGTTACGTCACGTCAGATCACAGTTCATCATGCCCCACGCCGTGCCCGCCCTGGAATGGGATGTTCGCTTCCTTGCGCATGCGCATAACTCGGCTGCGGCACCCAGGATGTTTGGTTCGGCTGTTTCCATCTCCAGGCAGACGGCCGCGTCTCCAGTAATGTCGAAGCCTATAGCCCGGGTGACGGCCGGCGACAGGTTTCCGGACCATACGCCTTGTGGTGTAGGTTACAACTTGCCCCGCGCCACACACGAGCGGTGCCGCGCTCCTTCCTGCTTATGCGCACAATGGCCGGCACGGCAGTGGGTAAAATACTCCACATCAGTTCGGAGTCGGCTGGCAACGGAACAACTTTCAGAGGCGCAGCCAGGGAGCGGGTCCAGAACCCAGAAATTTTCCTTCGTCCCGAATTCCCTCATTTTCGTAAAAGAGAAACCCTGGCGAGCTGAAGGGAATGTTGCACATATGTATGGCGTTTTGAAATGAAATAACCATCTTAAAGAACCTTTTGGTGCAGTTCACGGTCATGTCCTTTTGAAGAACCGAAATGCTCTGGTTCCTGAGTTGCATGGACGCAAAAGCGCGAAAACGTTTGTTGGAAGTGTATTTCAAAGTCGCCTTGGCATTAATGACGTCATAGAAACGACATGCGATCGCAGTCATACTTCAGGCTGTATTCTGCTCATGGTCAAAACAGCATGGCCGCTGATACATTGGCAAAAACGATGACGCGGCACGTATGATAAAATACGCGGAAGATGATAGGCTGCTAGCAAGTACCACAATCGCGCTGTTCACCAGTGCCGCGTTATTGTAATGAGCGAATGTGCCAGTGGGATGCGCCAATCAGACCACATGGTTCCCTTTCAGGGCATAATTTATGGTCTAGTTGGTTTCAGTGCTCCCCAGCTTTTTTACTTTTGATGATGTCTTTCACTTTCCTTACTGAGCTTTATGACCTCTTGTATTTAACTTTACCGGCTGAGTAGCTGTTTATGGTTGTACCTAAGACATATAGTAAGTACTAATTCCTGTTGAAATAATTTCTACAAACAGGGCATCCCGTCTCCTCTTCTGCTTCCGACAATAAGAACAATTTCGATGAGCTGTTGACAATATTATCCATCAGTTTGCAAGAAAACTTGTCGTGAGGCCCGCGGGTAAATAACGTATTAGGTACGAATGCTTATTGAAACGTCCCGAGCACATGACGTCCCAAGATCAAAACGTTCAGAATCGCACCATTCAGCGTTCATGACACCAGGAAATTGTCCAACATCTCTGAACAGAGCAGAATCAGGACATCCAAACGTCCAGCATCAAAATCGCGGGAACTAGAAGCTCAACGTTTAGCTTACGGGAGATCCAAAGGTTGGGATGCTGTCCCACTTCTTGGCAACCCTTAACCTCTTGGTTCGGATATTTCCCGATAGAGGACTGCTGTAGCCGAATTCGCCCGCTTACGCCGACGAGTGACGTTATGGGGTTCAGTGCCGCTATGTTAAACCACTGTGCATGGGCATGGACGGAGTCCTGTTTATGCACGCAAACGTTGCCGCGTCAGCAGAAGCCTGGCAATCGAAGATAGCTGGTTACTTGGCAGATGCTGCACGGTGGTCGTGGAAGGCACTGGGGGGATACTTGCTGTTTGGTGTTGTGGACTGTGGATGAAATTATTCGTGGAGTATGGCTCCGTTATTTACTGCATGTATGGGTGATGTTTCACAACTCATTTTTTTGAAGCGTGTTCACGCATGGCTGTTTCAGTGCCTTTCAAACATAAAATAAATACATTTCACAATGCTGTCGTACCCTGTTGTTGGAATTCAACTGTGCCAATTGCAGTGAACTGAATGTTTCCACACGATATTCCGTTTATTGCAATTCAAGGAAATCTGAAGCACACTGCACATGCAAAGCAAAAGCTCAGAATATAGATGTGTTTAATCATATGCATGCCACTCCACAGCCATACACACAACACATATTGTTGCACATGCACCTGGGTAAAACTGGGTATGCCTTATCCGTATGTTTCCACCAAGTTATGTAGCCAGCTTCCATGCACACTTCGCACTATTTACCGACGAATGTCACATTCAGATTAACCTACACGTAGAACTTCCTCACAATCCTTCCGCCTTACACACTTCGCAACGCTAACCTTGATGATTGGTTATGATTTTTGCCGTAATGACGCATTTAAGGCGCGCCCGGTTGGCCGGTTAGACAACCTTCGCTCGGGTGGGGTCCATTCGACCCTCTGAGATCTCAAGAACTAAGAACGCTGGAGACAAAAAATTCACAGGGTGTTTTGGCCTGTACGTGAATGCATTTGCGCCAAATGTTGATGCTCCTAGGTCATGAACTTCGGGTCAATGAGGTCAAACACGGCCAAACTCCAGGCCGGTCTCCCATGTGCCCCTAGAACCTAAACACGCCTTATAAGCAAAAGGCCACATGCTCATTCGTGTTCAATGACCTTGTTTAACTTTTCGAAGGTCATGGTAACCAAAATTATACCAGACTGCTTTGAGTTTTGCAATTTGAATAAGCGATAAGGATTACGCCAGGTAGCATGCTCCTCAAAACAAAATACTGACCTGAGTCATTTTAAGTCAGTGACTTGCTCAGACCTTTTATAAGTCCATCAAAGATGTATAATACGGTTCCTGTTATGAATAAATTCGAAATTGGCGCCAGAAATTACCCAATACAGCAAGCTATATACCAGAGCAACACGTTGGTTTTTACCTTGGTCTGGCCTTCATACCTGACCTTTGGCTAGTTTAATTTGTTCATTCAATTAATGTGTTGTCTAAAAAGCATATTAGAGACGCATGGTGTCGTCTAATGCTCTGTTGTTGCATAAAAATGAACGATTCCATAGGAATCACACAGTCCAATGCTCTTCACAAGGATGAAGCACCTGGTCCGTTGCCAATCACAGAGAACGCAGCACCCGGTCCAGAAGAATGCAGCGCCCCGTGCTGTGCCCCTCACTTGGCAGCTACGGTTCTCCGCACTAGAGCATTAAACAGATCGAAAAAGCCCGGCTGTGGGTTCGTTGAAGGATCGGAGTGGATCTTATAATAATTTTTTACAAAACCAAGGTAGGACAAGGACATATTTCAAAATCCTAGCGACCGAATGGATCACCATATCTAGATTGTTTTTAGTATTTTCTACTGTCTAGTTTGGTATACTGATAGCCTGCTAGCAAAGATAGCAAATCGACCGACTGGCCAGGCCGTAGAAAGTGCGCTGATTTGTCGTCACTGAAGTGAGCGACCGACTAAAAATCATGGAATGTTGTTATCGCCGGTTTGGATGGAGTCTAAGAAAGATACTGTGGGACCGTGGAGTACGATAGAGGGTTTTATGGAAAGGCTTACTGGTGTGGGAATTACGGTATTCTCCTCAGCCCTACCGAACGGATGTCGCCCGTGCACATCGGATGCGAGCGCAGCCGACTCCCGCAGAGTTTTAGAGCATCAGGTAGACAGGAAGTTAGCGGCTCCGCCATCGCTCGGTGTGGGCACGGCGGGTCGTCCACGCAGGCAACGGTCGTGGAGATTGGCGGCGGGGTTTTCTCCATACGGGTAACGCATTGAGGAGTCCAGTACGATACGTGGATGTTTCAGGATCTTTGACACCCGACTCTACCTCGTTTAGACCTTATAAGTCGATTCTAGCTTTAATTTTTGCTTCCACGGTATGACACAGCGACCTCCTCGCCCCGTGCCTTGCGATATATCTGTCAGCGCGAGCCTATGTTTCTTGCATTTACCAAATATGGCGGCTGGCTTAACGTGCCAGCAAGCGGACCACTCCACTCAGCTGTCGTATCTTGCCTTGTATGCCTGTGTCGGTCGCGCACTCATCCCGTGTGGTAGGAATAGTGCCATCTAGTGGATGGACTGGGAAGTGACAGTTAGCGCAAGACGGTTATAGTCGCATAGATGAAAGTTGGGACTACGCACACGGAATGCGGCAATACACAGGGGCGGATACAGGATTTCGTGAGTGTGTGGAGGGACGGGGGGGGGGGCGCAATATTGTGCGCCATCCCAGAGTTTAAGACCCCTCCTCACATTATGGCCTTTAAATCCGGATATGCTTAGCATGCTATTTTTGATGTGGGAACTCATCTTACTGTGTGTGGCCCCAAACAAACTAGGCGTGCTTCATAGCCACATGCATTGAGTTTATCAGTTTTCTCCAGATCATAGTGATTCTTGTCATATTGAAACTAGGTGTTTTGGAAAATAGCAAAATACATTAAAGTTCGCTGCTAAGTGCCATCGAAATGAAGCAATAACTTCATCCCTAGCCTAACCACGGCTAGCCTGCCGGCCGATAAGATCAGCCGATGGCTGATGACTCATGCGGAGCTTTTGCTTTGTCTGTTATAAGGGATAGAAACATCCTGGCGTTCAAAATGCTTAAAACGTGATGCGAACGCCGTATAAGTGCCGCAAATTAAATAACCAAGGGAAATGGCACATACGGCGCGGGCGACAAGTAAAGTTATGTTCAATAGACGCACGTAAAACTCGTCGGAGCATATCCCACCCTTGCTTTAAGGCTGGGGCACCAAGGTCAATGGGGACGGAACCTGAGCGATCATGGATGCCGCGGAGGGCCAATAATGGGGCTTCCGTCAAGAAGTATAGGGTCTCAGAGGAAGCGAGAAGAGCCAAGACCAACGTTATTGGCTCTTCAACGATCGGGAGTGCCCCGGCAGGTTGACACATAGAGCCCCGGTCAGAGCGCAAGGCCCTGTGAGCAAAGGGGTATCATCCATGACCACTGTGCGTGAACTTATGTCTGTGCGGTCAAGATTGTCCGGGCAGGTTAAAATAAATGGCCCCGATGGGAGTGAGGGGTACTTCGCAAACGAGATCAAATGAAAAGAGACCTGGATCAATGTTAAGTGCCCCTGATAGTCAAGTGGCTTGGTGCCCTACTTCTTATGGGCTCAGAAACAGCACACGACCCTCCGAGCCAGTGGAAAGTACCCGAGATCAATATCAATGGCCGCCGACTAGCTGAGTGTACGTCGGCACATGGGGCCACGGCAAAAGGGTGTCGAATCTTTTGACCGAATGGGAGGAGTCCGATGGCACTATTAACCGGCCATTTAAATATTGCATCGGCCGATATCACCATTTTTGCTCAGCTCACCCTCCGACAGTGTAGGGGTGGAGGGAGTTCTACGGTGAGCGACGTGTGCTGCTGCCGGCGTCGCTAAATGTTGTGCGCCGCCGGCTGCCGCTGCCACGCCTCCCCGCAAGAGCGAATTTATGATGAGGACCCCGTTGGTCAGCATACGAGCCAGATGATATTAGTGCACGACTCGGCACGTTGTGACTTCGGTACACCCGACATCAACACACTTATGTGGACTACGGAGCTAAGATGAAGCGGGCGACCGGGGCATTGGCGAGATGGTGGGCCCGATCAGGCACCGTGAACGGCTGTCTCCCCGCCCATGGGTGTGCGCCCTTAAACACGGCAACGCAATGGCGAATTATATTGGCGAGGGCCTGCTGGATCATAACCATGGGAGCCCCCCACCCCCCTCCCGGCGTTAACTAATCCACGGAGACTCCACGCAATCGGCGCCCCATCACACTTCCTCCAAGCACACACATAAGCTGTCACCCACGTCAACCCACTCTCCTTGGCTTCCACACGGATGGGACCCCCCACCCGCCCTTCTTCCAGCGCCTTGGCATTGCAATTGGCTCGTCTGCGTGGGTCCTCGATAAGTTAGGTTTTTTATCGCATTTCAAACCTTCGAGAAAACCACGTTTAAGCCCTGTTTAACGTGTATCCGAAAATGGACGGTGACTCGTTCCCTCACCTGACCTCCAGGGTGACGGCTCCCTGTTTGGACGACACTCCCCGTGCTCCATTCACGATGGGCGGCCCACCATTCGCTCGGTCACGCCCAGCGCTCGCAGCTTTCCGCTGCCGCGCACGCGCCTTAGGTATCGCCTCGTCCAGCACGGAAACGTCGCCTCCGGCGCTTCCGCGCCCTGACCTCCCGCCTGCCGGAGCGACCTTTGCGAGGCACCGCCCCACGGCGCGGCCCTCAGAGGCCTGGAGGTAGACAGCGCCCCCGATGGGACGGTGGAGCCCCTTGGCAGACGACGAGTGCCCGGAGTAACCCGCGTTCACGCCTTACGGCCTCATCAGCTGGCGTGCTCTGGAGGCTCGGCCTGACCGGCCTGTCCGGCGACCTGGTTCCTCGCCGCACTTCCTACGGGCGTCGATGGCGGGGTCTCTATCCGTCCCGAACATCCCGTCATCAAACGCCCATAAGGCCTGGCGTACACCACGTCGGAACAGAGCAGGCCGTGTCCTGTTCCGTCCCAAGGCGGGAACACCACGGATAGACCCCGCCACCGCCGTCCATAATCCGGCATGCCGGGCGGTGCCCACTGGTCCTAGATCATACCATGACCTATGCCTCTTTTATGCCGTCGGGCCTGGATTCTAATGGGAAACAGTAACACGAGTCAGCTGTCTTCGAAAAAAAGGAGCGACATCTTGCTTTGAGCCGCGCTACCCACAAACATATATCTGCGTAAAAGCAGGGCTGCAGTCGTCTGGCCCCTCGACCCTGCCGTAGCCACGCCGTGGTGCTCACTTGCCGGCGGGCCGCTAGCACTGGACTGCCCGGTCCATCCACACCAAGGCACCGCCATCTACAGCTTCGGAGCCGGCTAACGAGCGAGCCGTCGCACCCAAGCGTGCGTCCACGGCTCCGGACACAGCGCCGTCCAACACCGGGCACGAGGGCCCTCCCACCGCCTGGACCAATCCCTTTCGAGCCTCTCCCCCACGCTAAACCATCGAAACGCAAGCCGTCGCCTGTATGTACAACAAAAATTACACCCACCCCCACCCCCTTTTCGCCCACTCTTCGGGAGGGGACTAATCGCCGTGGCCTGCGCGCGCCCGGTGGGAATGGAAAAAAGGGCACGCCGGAGCGCCAGCCATCCATGGTCCCGTGGGAGGGTGGACAACAGCCCAGGCACTCAGGTCGTGCGTGCTGTCGCCGGTGACCGTCGCCCGCCGTGCCTGATATCGCAGTCGGGTGCCGCGAGCTGGAGCTTGGAGAGTCGACCTCGAGGTGTGGCTGCAGGCGTTGGGCGCACTCCCTGGCACTGACGGTCTCCGGAGCCCCTTCCACGATGTTTTATCGATTTTCGACGTCTCTTTACCGGGTCGGCCCGCCCTCGTCTTCTCGCGTGGCTGGGCCAGATCTCGGGCGTGGTGTCGCTGACGATGGCGCAAGGCCCACCCGCTCTTGGCTCGGGCGGGCCCTGTGCGTCCCCATCTGCCCAGTTCACACTTGGCGTGGCTCTTCTGATGGCATCTGGGGCGACGGCGGGCCGGCGCGGCAGGGCTTGCTGGGGCGAAGCAGCAAACATCCTAACAACATGTTATCTGCACATTCCTGTGCACATGTTGCGTCGCCGGTCGCCTGCTCTCGCCTACATTTTTGTTGGCGTGATGGACAATTTTGACAGATGGGGCCGCCGTCCTGGTTGTTCCGCGGGAAGCACGTGGCGTTGTTTTGACGATGTGAGCTGATCGGCTGAAGCGTCGAGCCGAGCCGCATTCTTCTCCCGGCCTGATGGACGTGTTTGTTCATGGGGGGAGCTCTGGACCAGGACCGGCTGGTCCGCTGTTCCACGCTCCGCGCGAGCAGCCCCCCCCCCCCCCCCCCGGTCTCGGACGGGTTGCGCGCGGGATGACGAAGCATGAAAATGTACGTAATGTATGTTTTCTTACAATTTCCGCACAGATCATCAGCCGCAACACCGGACTTAACCGTGATTTCCTTTCGAAACAAAGTATCAACGTGGGCTCATGGTAATGCCGCTCAAGAGGTTCTTCTTGTAAAACCCAATATTTTATTCAAGATTTAAATTTCTCGTACCATATGTGAGAAATAGAGAAATATATGTATCTAAAATTACTGTAATGTTTCCCTAATTTCACAATGCCTTGCTAATCCATAAACCCGTGCACGGGTATGTGCTCCAGTATGCAAGGCGCCAGCCGAGCTGTCTGTAAGAGATACGGTAGTAGAAGAAGAAAACACGTGAGCAGGAGAAAAAAGACAGATTTGCGGTTGCGTATTCTTTTTCATAACTTCGGGAGAGTGCCCATTTTTTGGGTGCCGTACTTTTTTGCAGACAGTGGCATTCTTTTTATAGCATTGACCTGATGCCTAGAAATAAGGAAAAATGACCCGTTCATGAGTATCGCACGACCCGAAATTGTTCACGTTTGTGTTCGCGACACGCATTCAGCAGTAAAATCTCACTTATAGCCAATCATCTTCCGCGGACTGCACCATATGTGCAGCATTATCGCCTTTGCGAATGTATCAGCAGCCATGCTGTCTTGACCATAAACAAACAGCAGCCTGTAATATCGCGGGGATCTAATGACGTTTCTATGGCGTCACCAATCAGAAGGCTGTTTTGAAAACGGCTCTAAATAAAAGCTTTCGTAATCTGCGCGCGTGTAACTCAGGAACCAGAGCGTTTTGGGTCTTATAAAGTGGATATCCGTGAACTGCATCAAAATGTCTTCAAGACGGCTATTTCAGTTCAAAACGCCAAACAAATGTGGAACATTCCCTTTAAAAAGCCCTGTCGATTTAGGAAAACTGTTGTTTGTGGACACTTGAGCTGAACTTTCAAAGGTAAACGTAGGACGCTGGAGCGACACATGTCGAGGATTTATTTAGGACTTACTGCTGCTGAGAGGAGCAACGGGTTTGAGGCAAAAGAGGCCGAGCATCGCTGCGCACATTCGTGAGCTAAAGCGCTTTTGATCTCCATCATATTGCATATACAACTAAATGAAGGTGATGGCGGTGTAATAGAAAAAATCCTCTAGTTTCTGAGCTACACGCCCCCGATGTGCAGGCTATTTCTTATAAAAGGCTGCTTATTCAAGGCTGCCGAGGCATCCATGACGCTGTAGGAACGGTGTTGAAATCCTACCATCCCACTGACCATACGGCATTCGAAGTCAATATGCATATTCATTGTAAATTTTCTAAGTCAACTTTTTTGCGTGAGAGTGTTGTCGGGCCATCGGAAATTTAAGCAGATTTCCGACGTGATAAAACAAAACCAAGCTCTGAATGTGAGGTGGCTGGCGTGCTACCACAAAGTAATCCTTCATGAGATGATTACAGCGGGGCAGCCATCAGCACAGGCAACTATACTCAACACAAACGTTGACACGACAGGCCGCTGTCGACTACAACCTCCTGCCGCAATACGTGAGGGTTGCCAACCACTCGTGTTTTGCTGGCACGGTTAGCCAGGGTTTTTACATCCCATGGGGACATGAAGACGCGTTTTTATTGGATGTGAGATGTATATGCTTTTCGTTGAATGAATGAACCTTCCTGTACCTTGGAATGTTTTAAGACAATACGACAGGTATGTATTTTATCCTTTGATGTAATACAAGGTACATTGGAATGTGCTGCAACGTGAATACAGACCTCATTGTCGAGCTGTTTATATCCGTTGACTTGAGCACGGATTTCACACACAATGACAGTCCACTGACTCTTAGATATGTTGTGCAAGCTATGCAAGATTCCTATGGGAATGGCGGCGATTGCGTTAAGGGTCAGATCACGTCAGAGAACATGTCCGACCCTGTCGAGCATTGCGACACGTAAACTCTCCCCACCAAAATCTGCCGTTAGCCTGACATTGCGCGATCGGAGGGTAGGGATCACGGCACACGCAACAAGCAGTGCTTCGTGTGAGGTTTTGATACCAGAAATCATATAAGCAACTAAAACTGACTGTTCCGCTTAAAATTATACCAATAGTTATAAGTGAGCTTGTTTCATCACTTTCTTACTTCATAAACCATAAATCTTACCTCAAAACCTTGACAAAAGTAAGTTAAGCGATTGAAATCCTTGATGATTGAATCGGATATTTTTTGTGAGAGAATCGTGTGCTTTATAACGGTTAGGTCATTTTAGACACCACGCAACACTTTTCTGACACAAAAAGGGTCATATTTCCCTAAACAAGGAACAGCTTATACTTCCAGCAAAACTACTTCTCAATCTGACCAAACCTTGAACCCATGAAGAATAACATGGCAGCTGAAGTATAGCCAGTTGATCCTTGCCTGCCACCACTTCTAGGTCTTTAATATTGTATCTATGGTGGTGCATACAAAGAATAACCTCAAAAACGTTGCAATTGGTCAAAATGAACACTCGGGTCTCGCAGCCATTTGTGTACAGCTCTTCCTCTGCCCATATGCCATTTCGAAACACATATGTTCGATCTTGACGAGATAGTAATAGGACGGCACCGGAGTGTGCGATCAAACGTGGGGTAGCATTTCAATTTTTTGGCAGAAATTGTCTCAGTGCTACCCTGGGATGGCAAAAACACCTTCTGGCTTTGAATGACCCCAAGTCCAGTGAAAACGGTGCTTCGTGCTAGCGACCACGATGTAAGGTCTCTCAAACTAAGAGAGGGAGCGGCAGCAGCCTAGCTGGGGCATTTCTTGCCAGTCAACGGCTATAAGGCTATCGATACATTGTCAGAAAGTCGGGTGAAAAGCTCAGGCCGTTCTGGGTTCCTTGCGTTTTGCACTCATGATTAGGGGTATCTTCTAGTTTACTTGGTTGTAGGGGCATTGGCGCGATTATGATCAGGGACAGTTGGGGCGGAATCTATCCAATTATTCCAATTCTTTAACTGATCATTGGGCCGGACTAGATAACTTCATTGATCAAAAGACAGGAACCGGATCAAAAGACATATGTGAACATATATGGACATATATGGTGGACATGGACATGTGGACATAGACATATATTATACATATGTGGATGCAGAAAGATGCGTGCGGGGGACACTTGCAGAAGCTTAAAGACCAGAAAG